TAGTTCAGCAGGAGAAAGCTTAATTCCCTGCTCGGACTTTGCTTCTAAATATTCCTCATTATGTTTTTCATAGTAAGGATCAATATATACCTCCTTAATAAGGACACCGTTGATGATTACGGCATTTTCTAGCCGAGTGTGATAATATTTGATATCCTTATAGAGCATATATTATAATTTTATACTTCTTTCAAGGTTATACTAAATATAACCTTGCTTATCCCTTAAATATTTTAAGCCTTTCAATCAGTAAGAATTATAAGTATCCAAATACTTCTTTGGAATAAATATGATAAATCCTCGATCGGTCTTCTCGTTAGTTCAAGCACTGGCTTGCCAAATTTCAACTTGAACATAAATCCCCTCATCCGTTTTCTGCAAAAGGGAGACATTACAAACCGCTGTCGCTACCTCCCGCAATTCAATCCATACTTGCCCTAACCTTTGCCCATTGATAAAAATTTTTGTCCCTTGATGCCGACTTAACGCAAAAAAATGGGACAAAAACCGTTGCATTTGCTGAGCTTTTTGGAATTCATTACCACGGAATAGTAAATTAATCTCATCCAAAAAAACTACTTCTTTAACCCCTAAAGGAGCCGTGGGTTGGTGAGCAAAATCTACTTGGGCTCTTTCCATCCAAGGGAGATTACAAGGAAAAGAAGCGTATTTATTTTCTTCCGGTAGTTCGTGAGCCAATAAAGCCATTAAAGCTGTTTTACCGGAACCATAAGGACCCCAAAAAACTAGACCATTACTATTTTTACAAAAATTTAAGAATTCAGGGGTGTTATCAATCACTACTCGACCTTTATTTTTAAAAAGATTGTAAACCATAGCCCCGGCTAGTGTTCCAGCAATAGCCCACCAAAAACTACCAATTAACCAACCCGAGGCATTTTTTATTTTTACTAATCAATTTATTTGCGAGTGGGCTAGTCAGAAAAAAATAAGGGCTAAAATAAAAGCAATAAGGGCTTTAGCCCAAATAGTAGTTCAAAATTTATTTTTTTTATCTGCTAATTGGCTGCTATCTTTTTTTATTTTTTTTGCCATGTTTTTTCTTAGTAATTTTAATTTCTTTTTCTTCGTCCGCTAGTTCTTGGTTAGAAGTTTTTTTTTCCTCTCTCCTCAACAACAAGAGGAAAATCAAAGAGAGGTTAAGAAAAAAGAAAAAGAGTTAGAAGCAATTAAAAACAAAAAAAACGTCCGGATGACTCCCAAAATAATCAAAATGAGAATGAAAATTATGAAAACTGAACCCACGAACAATTAATTCAAGAAATCCAAAAAGTAAAGTCCGAATTGGAACAATTAAAAAATGATAAAAGTATTGATAGTTCCCGAAAACAAGCCGAATTAACAAAAAAATTGGAAAAATTAGAGCAATTGGCAAAAGCCAAAGTCAACAAAAATACTCAACGGCCACAAGCTGATAATGAGTTCCCAACTGGTTGAGTGGTAGGAGGTGTATTGTTTATACTATTGATAGGGATAGCGGCATTACTTATAACAAAGAACGGGAAAAAGAAACAAGATATTTAAATATAAATCTCATGTCAATTCCTAAAATCAATATTAAAAAGTGGTGATAAAGTAAATGAATAAAACTTTTTAATATGGGTTATTCACACCAGGAAATCGAAAAAAAAATGGCAAGATTATTGAGAGAAAAATCAAACTTTTTTCTCTAATTTAGCCGATAAATCGAAGCCAAAAAAATACATTTTGGCTATGTTTCCTTATCCATCAGGCAGCGGTTTACATGTCGGACATATCCGTAATTATACTATTACTGACGCCCTGGCCCGCTTTTATCGAATGAAAGGCTATGAGGTTCTGATGCCGATCGGTTGAGATGCTTTTGGCTTACCGGCCGAGCAATACGCAATACAGACTAATAATCACCCCGCTACTTTCACCCAAAAAAATATTGATAATTTTAA